GTCAACCACACCACACAGCTTGGTGTCATCGGCAGAGTTGCTGAGGGTGCACTCAGTCCCACTGTCTATATCGCCAACAAAGATATTAAACAGCACCAATCCCAATACCAACCCCTGAGGCACACCACTCGTCAAAGGTCTCCACCTGGACATCAGGCCATTGACTATAACTCTTTGTGTGCATCCATCGAGCCAGTTCCTTATCCAACGAGTGGTCCCTCTGTCAAATCCATGTCCTTCCAATTTAGAGACAAGGACATAATTTGGGAGAGTGTCAAAGGCCTTGCACAAGTCCAGGCAGATGATGTCAGTTGCCTGCCCTTTGTCCACCAACGCTGTAACCCCATCACAGAAAGATACCAAGTTGGTCAGGCACGATTTGCCCTTGGTGAAGCCATGTTGGCTGTCCCCAGTCACCTCCTTGTTATCCATGTGCCTTAGCATGGTTTCGAGGAGGATCTGCTCCATCATCTTGCCAGGCACAGAGAGTACTGTTTACTCCACATGATCCCCTGCCATAGCAATTATTATGGTGTTGTAGTGTTTGATTTCTGGAGAATTTCAATTAGCATCCTACTCTGTAAGTGGCAAGTATGACGTCAGTGTCATGCTAGTGACCATCTGTCCGTAACACAAATCTGTTTCATAATTTGGCACTATTCAGCACTCCTTACTTTTTTGCTCTTGCAGGGTTGAAGCGAAAAATGTAGAAAGTAAATATACGGGCAGAGCAGTGCAGGTGCGGGTATCATACCGATATTCCATACAATGAGAATGGTGTATTGTGCCTGGCTGTTCACTTCTATGAACATTAAACCTAATAATAATTGAGGTAATCTTAGTGGAAAAGAAATAAGGTGTATGTAATGCTGCAACGTAATACTATATGAATGTGAAATTAGGTGAAAATCAGCAAGGAAAATTGTGTATTCCTATTGGGAGGAAGAAACTTTCTAAGTACTTAGTTTGTAGCTGTGACCAAATGACTTTTATATTATCTGTGAAATGGGAATAATATTATGGTGTCCTAGGAGTGAATGAAAACTTGCGCTGAACTTGAAAATTATTTTAAAATATCTTAAAGATGTCTCATTTATGGAAAGAAAACAGTTTGACTATCATTTTCCCTGATACACATAAATACTTAGCAATGCAGCCCTAAGTGTGACTTTGTAAAGAAAACAAAAAGTGTCACCATCATCATATCACTTTCTTAATTTCTAGTACACCAGTATTGCAGGTTTCTTACTTAGTAATTGCACAAATCATTTTTCAATTGAGATCTTTTCAAGGGAGATCTTGCAAAACAGCTAATTGGATGCCTGACTTTAACTTTGTTTTGTTATAATTGGAAGTTGTCATGAGAATTACAGTAAATTTTTGTGCAGTTGAAGCTTATGAAAATGGAATAGCCCTTAAAAAGTAAAAATAATTTTAAAAAAATCCCTAAATTATAGAAGCCGAGTATTTTAAGCCTCAGTTCCCTGATGCTGAAAAAGTATATACAACGTAAATGATACAGTTGTTGATACTCCAGTGTCTCTATCAAAGCTCCCATCTCTCCGTGTGAATCACTGATCCTTTGGATATTTATATGTCAAGCTACAGTTCTTCACTTGCTAGCACTTTCAAGAAAGCTAATTGTAGGGTTAGATGATTTTGAGTACACTAAAAAAAACACCAGATGTACTTACTCCGAGGAAGAGCACGTCACAAAGTTAGAAGTTCCAGAAATACTCTTCCATTTTCCTTTGATGTTTCATCAACACCTCTTACTGAAGTGTTGCGTGATGGTTTCCTTATATTTGTGAGACTTCCTCTGTTAATATTTTGAAAGTGGACTTTTACAGTTGTGGATGTTTTTATTGTTGTGGCTTGTTTTTTTTTTGTTTTGTTTTTAGTTGAGGAGGAAGAAGCAGAAGTATCTTGAAAGCAGTATCTTTCTGATAAGTGTGGCTTAGTGTGTATCCGTTCCTAGAAAGAGTGCTCTGATTTTGTTTTTTTTGGTTTTTTTTGTTTTTTTTTTTAGAGCAAGGTGCATATGACTTATCACAATGCTATTCTATCACATTAATTTTGTTTCATGTTTTTGTGGCTTTTTATCTTTTTGTGATGTGCTCTTTGCCAACCTTGAAGCCCAAATCAGTATTTTTAGCATTCTGTATTTGGAAAACTGAAAACGTTTGGTGTTATCTGTTGCTGTTTCTGTCTATAAAGGTCTGCTTGGTATGTCATTATTCAGAGCAGTCCGGTGGAAGTGTTGGGATTTGTGTTAGTTATTTAAATTCTTTATCAACTCGATGATTACTGTTACCAAGTGTGAATTGAAGCTTCTGTATGGAAGTTACAGGTTTGCACATATTGTCTCTTGTAATCAAGACTGGTCATATTTTATTTCTATTTTCTGTATGCAAGAGCTTCAGACTACTTATTGTGGATCTTTCATGGAGATGTACTGTCTTGAAAGACTTATATTTAATAATTTATTATCTGGTTTTGTTACAGTGGTTATCAGACAGCAACTCAATAAAGCAAAAGGTCTAAAGAATTTGTGTGAAACTTATTTTATGTATTAATGTAAATAAAATTTTTAATACTTCATCTAGTGAGGCAGTAGAACAAGGAAAATTACAATTATTTCGATATTAAAAAGCCAAACAGATTATAAGAACAAAGATTAACTGTAGCTTTGCTTTATTACAAGAAAAGTAATCCAAAGGTATCTTCATGAAGATGGAAAGGTGTGAGGGTGAACTTGTAAAATTTAAAATCTGAAAGGATAAAAGCATAAATAGAGCAGAAACATTTTCTCCTTGACTTCCATGGTCTTGTATCTTCATAGATATTCTGCTACCAGTTTACATGAAGAAATGTTTTTAATTCTTAATTGGCTTTCTGCATTTCTGCACAGGCTTTAGCAGAACTGTACCTTTTGATGGTAATACATGCTTTGGTTCAGCAATATGGTTATGAATTCAACTCTTAAACCATTTTCTGCTCATACAAATCTGTTTACCTTATAAATTTGTATCTTGAGCATAGATTTCTCTCTTATATTAGACTGAAAATGGATCAGCTATTCTGCTTTGGTGTTTCTTGAGCTGTATACTGAGAATTAGGGAGAGATTTATGTTAATTTCTGCCTTTGAACTAGGTTTTGTTCAGTCTGTCCTTACAATAGACCTATTGTGAGGAGATGAGTAGGTAGGACAAGTCTGGCTGTTTAGCTTTTGTCTGCCAACTCAGTGTGAGAGAACCAAATACTTCAACCCATGCTAGTGTTGTGGAAGTGCTTATTTGTTGAACGTGGAACCTAAAGCTTTGCTTCTTGTTTATTGTTTTGGGATTCTTTTTAAGGCTTAATGTTATTTGCAGTTAAATAGCTGGTTTTTGTGTTTTACAGTTTGTGGAAATTATATTGTTCCTTTTGAAAGAGAAATGATTTGGTGGTGATGGAGTGCTGCCACTGACAGATGGACTCACAGGAAAGAAGGTAAGAATGAGCAGCTAAGTGAAGCCACAGAGGCTCCCTGAAATATGCCAGCTCGTGATCATGCTATAAAATTATGAAGTGGTGTCAGCATACTTTTTATGTAACTTAAAGGGAAGAAGAGGAGTAAGTTTAGTTTCAGTAATGTCTTGAACACTCAACTTATTACAACTTCTTTAAGTTGATTGTTGAAACTGGTGGAGGGGACAGCCATAGGCTGGAAACTTGAAAGTACCATTCTCTAGTGAACAGTAAATCATATCTGTTACCTGCACCTATGAATTTTGATTCTGGACTAATAGCCCTGCAGTAGACTCTTCTTTTTTGCTTTTTGCACTAAGATACCTGACAGAGGTCAGAAGGTTTGGGGATGGAAAATTAGTGTCTTGTAATAAATCTTGGCATGTGACTGTTCAAATTTGTCATACACTGTTCTCTGAAGACTTATTAAATGGATAAAAGCCCAAATATCAGGCTTTGAACTGAATTTAATGCACAATGTGTTGATGAAAACTCTCTATATTATCATGTTGTGTTCTTTGCTGTGCTTTGCTCATCTGACTAAAATCCCTGTTTTGATTTTACCTAAATGTCCTAACTATGATGATGGATTTTTCTAACTTTTTTTTTCTAGCCTATGTATTACTCAATTGGTTCCTTTTAAATTTACTTCTATTCTAAACACAAGTCCTAGGTATATAAAATGCAAGATGGATTCTGCCATTTAATACTATGTATGTTGTTTGTATTAAATTGCTTATGTGAATTTTAGAAGAGTTTTTGACTGTCACTTTTTTTCTTTGTTATGTGGAAAAGAAGAGAGATTGGGGATGGGCACAGGAGCTAAAGGAGACATAATTCCATCTCTTAGTTATTCTCATCTTGAATGTTTTGAGACAGATTGTGCAAAGGTATTGTTCATCCTGTGCACCACAAGTAGCAAATTTTTTAGTTTAAAAAAGTAGTAGTCTGATGAATAGGGCCTTACAGCTTTTGAATGTGCTACTTGCATAAGTTGTCTGCAATGCAGCCTATCAGACTAGCATTTTCTGGGTTTGCTTCAGTAAAGGAATACATTTGGGTTTTTGTGCCCTTTGTTCTAGACAAAGATTGCCATTTTGTCAAAGCTCTTCGTGCTGCCTTACATATTTAACTTCACAAATTCATGCAAAGCTGCCAGAACTGATTTACATGGGGAGTAAATGACTGGTTTGTTGGCAAATAAGGAGCTAAACCTACTTTTTTCTGCAGGGTAGATAACAATCTATTCTATATAAAGTTTTAAATTAATTTAAAGGAAACTCTAAATTTAACTTGAAATGCTTTCAGTCTGTAATGGTCTTTAAAATGGCTTTTTATGTTTAAGTCAAGTGATTCCACAAACTGTTAAAACTGTGTGCTTGTTGTCAAAGTTTTGAGGAATTTCTGTCTGCTGAATGGGAGAAGTTGCTGACTGAGGATTCAAACCAGAGCATGTTGAAATGTTAAACCAGCTTTGGATAGTTTCAATCACTCCTGCAAGCCCAGATACTTCCATTGTGCTTCTGGATATTTTTTTTGCCTTGGTTCAATTGATTTGAACGACTGGTTCATATGAGTCTGAGAAACTCATTAAGAATGAAAAGAGGAACTAAAAAACCAAACAACCAAAACCTCATTTTTCTCTCTAAAGGTAGAAATGAAAGTATATGAAGGATGAGCTCTTATAGGTGTAATATTTTGAAGACACTGTGAGTCGGAGTGATTGGTTCACGGTAAAATCTACACACAATACATCCTTTGCTTAATTACTTCTTTTTAAAACAAATGTTATTTGAGATGTTTATGTATATTTCCAGCATACTTGATGTTCTGCGTAGCTGATAAAAACATGGCTGTAAGGCTGTTTTTCCTGCATTTTGATTTCCAGAAGCTGAATAATACAAAACATGAATAAAATGTAATAAACAAGAATGTTCCTTCTGCTTTCTAACACAGGAAGGGTTAACATTATAAATCTCACTGTTCAGACAGGAACACAGTTGCTTACATGTGGGTAGAACTCATGCAATGATGTCCCTCAGCATACAATGGCAAAATTATGTATTAATTTGTGCTGTGAGCAACAAGTACAGTGTATAATATAAAGGCTATATCAGTTGTGCATAAAAGAATCTTTAAGTTTACTCAACTGCTTTTCAGGCAGTAAAGTACAAATCAAAAAGAATGCGAATGATTTCAGATAGAAGATACTTGGTTTTCATTTAAATGAAGATTACCAAATTCGAAATGAAGTATGTTGACTTCCTGAAATTAAAACTAATGCCTGAAATACTAAGCCTTAACTACGTACCTGAAAAGGATACTAGACATTACCGAACAACAGAAAACTTCAAGCTGATTCTGTATTTCCTCCAGTCTTTTTTGTAGCTCAGAAGAGGCAGAAGGAGCCAAAGAGAGAGGCCTGGTCTATGTTTGGAAGGCTGGTTCTTGCTCTGTAACTCCAGAAAGGCTTCCAGGCCTCAGTGGAAAGACTGTGTTACAGGCAGCCCTTGGAATACATCATGGGTTACTTCTAACAGAAGGTAATAAACATCTGAATTGTAAAGATTTGTGGCAATGACAAACTGTAGTTATTGTTAAGTTTTCTTCTTTTAGATTATTTTTTCATTCTATCTGTGTCTCATACACAACTTTTAAACAATTATATTTTTATCTTTGCCAGTATTTCCTTCTTAGTTAGAAGTTACCTAAAACTGTGTTGGAGTAGAAATTATATGCATAGTATCTTCTTTAATACTGGGGTGTTTTTTTCTTTTAAAAATGGTTCTGGATTTCTTCTTTAAAGATGGCAGTGTAATTTGGATAGTGTTAACTCAAAACAGCGTTTCTTGTGATGTCTTTCATTCAAAAAAGACAGTACAGCAAGAGGTTCTCTTGCAGTGTATGAGCTTTGGTTTCTGTGTGCTTCTGGGAAAATGTGGAACTAATAGATGCAATGGATTGAGTCTTGTTTTGTGAGCAGTTTGGCACTGTGAATCAAAATATTTCTCAAAGCCAGTACGTTTAAGTGTTTGCATAGCTTGGTCCTTACGTGTACTGATCAGTGGACATATAGTTGTAAAGACTAAACTGGAGGTTGCTTCTTTGATTTTTTTCTTTGATGTTTTTGAAGGAAAGTTCCCAGGTTATTGGTAAGCTGGATACAAGCATCTCTCCTCTACTGATATGGAGCTCCAGTGGATTCTTTTTTTTTTTTTAGAACATGTTTCTCTCATAATTAAAAGGACTTTTTGCATGTGTGTTCTTGCTTCATGGAGCATGTTGTTTGTGGATGTGATTTACCATTTTCCTCTCACTGTGAAAACAACTGTTCATTTTAAAAATAGATTTTTGCTTTTCTTTAGAATTGGCAAAGTAACTTGACCTGGCATTGCTGCAGTCTTTTCAGGTAAAGGTAATGAAATTTTGGAGAGGCTGCAGTATGACATCAAACCAGTGGCACGATACATTTACCCACCACTCCCACTTTCCACCTAATAGAGCAATCCTATTTTACTGTAGGGTGGCAAACAGTACAGTTTGGAGATGCTAGATCGCTGTATGGAAGGATGAGCTCTGTACTTTGTCATGCTCTTCAAGCATGGTGGTATGTCCTTAATATGTCATATGTTCTTACAATAGAAAGGACCAATAAATACACTTAACTTGGGAATAGTAGAATTATTAGCAGAAAAGCATTACTTAGTTCAGCAGTGCATGCATGCACAGGGTAACATTAACATGAGGTATAGAACGCAACAGCAACAATGGCAGAGAGCAACCAGCAGTCTTCATGTATCAGTAGTCATAGTTCTGCTGAGCCTGGAGAAAGTTAAAAATTGGTATCTGTTTATCTGAATCTATCTTCAATTTTTTGTATTGGTTTAACTTCATTAGACTCATTCTAGCTGTTTTTATTTTTCCTCCCAGGCGGAGAGGTCTACAGTTTCGGAAGACTGCCCTGGAGATCAGGCCTGGAGGAGTCATGTCCTGCTGGTCCTGTCTTAGAAAATACTTTGCTTGGGCGTCATGTTATTACAGTGGCAGCTGGCAGCTTCCATAACGGAGCCGTGACAGAAAGTGGTGTGGTGTACATGTGGGGGAACAATTCTGCTGGCCAGTGTGCAGTTGCTGATCAGCCATGTGTGCCAGAGCCCCAACCCATCAGTATTTCTGATTCTGAAACCAGTCCTCTGTTAACAGTAAGGATTTTGCAGCTAGCATGTGGAGAGGAACACACGCTGGCACTATCACTAAGCAGAGAGATATGGGCTTGGGGGAGTGGCTGCCAGCTCGGTCTCATAACAACAGCTTTCCCAGTGACAAAGCCACAGAAGGTAGAGCACCTGGCAGGACGTGTTGTGCTCCAGATCGCTTGTGGAGCCTACCATAGCCTGGCTCTGGTACAGTGTCTCCCTGCACAGGAAATGAAGCCTATCCCAGAGAGATGCAATCATTGCAGTCAACTCCTCATTACCATGACGGACAAGGAAGATCATGTAATCATTTCAGACAGTCACTGTTGTCCACTGGGTGTAGCACTGTCTGATAACCAACCAGAAAACCATGTCTTCTGTCCCTCATTGGAGACCCTAAAAGGAAAAAGCGTAACAGGTAGCCAAAGTGAAGATTGTCAGAAACCAGTTGTGGAAGAACATACACTTGTTGCTTTAGAATCTGATGGAGCAAGTATGCTTTCCAGCAATGATGGACAGGAAGACAGTGGAATTTCTAGTCCTGGAAATATTCTGTTTCCAGACAAAAAAGAAGTGAAAGAGTACTTAATCAGTTTATCAGATCACTCATTAAATGAGAACTTGAAGCAAAACATCTGCACAGAACCTGAGCAGGTTGGTACCTAGTCACTAGCTCTTAATTTGATACAACTCTTCTTGTATATGTGACAATGTTACTCTTTTCACCAATGAAAAATTCGGTTGGTTTATTGTGGCTGTGGTGTTCCTGTAGTTTCAGACTGTTTCTTCTCTGTGATGGTTCTTAAGTTTTAAGTGGTATGACCTTCAAGGTCCCTTCCAACCCTTACCATTCTATGATTCTGTCCTTGTTCAGTTGTGTTTAATGTGAGCATCCTTCACAGTGCTGTAGTCTCTCCTCCTTGTGGTCCACAGTACCAGAACGACATAAGCCAGTTTCCCATTCTCTAGCGGTTTCCTGTTTGTGTGGGACAGTAAGCTGGTACTTGTCTAATTTACCTTTAAGGTGAAGCTTGCTCTACTGATGTGGAATGACTCCCTCACAAATCTAATTTCTCAGTCAGTTAAAAATTCTAGATTGCAAGTAAAGATTGTAAAGGTAATGATAAAGCATTGACAAGAAGGCTTTTAATGTTAATCTGTAGGGGTGGCATAAACTTATGAACAGGCATGGGAAATACTAAAGTGCTGCTCTGTTTTGTGTGGTGTGGGAAATGGTTCAATAACACTGTTTTGATGCTATAGCAGAACAGTAAAGTAATAATTTCTAATAAGCATCAGAAAATGCTTGACATGAAGGCTTCCTGACAAAATACTATGTTTTCCACTGTTTTGAAAAAAAAAAAAAAAAAGCTTATTTGGGGTGGGAGGGGAGAAGATATGACCCGAAAGCTATTAGAAAACAAATGCAAAATCTTGCAGTGCAGTCTGGCAGTCCTTACATAAGTACTGTCCTGTTGGATGGTTTATGGTAAAGGTAAGATCTGTGAGAAAAACTGCCACTCTGTGGCTTAATATCCAAGATTCATACAATCCTGAAAACTTCTTTTGTCATTTCAGGTGTTGTGTAGATACCAATTTCTTAATTTTTTCTTTTATAGTTACGGTAAGAAATTTTTCACAGTGGTTCTGGGAGATAAATTTCACAGTGCCTTATAAATAACCAGTTTTTGTTATTACCTCTGATTGCAAAAAAACCCTCCCTAGTCTTAAAACCAAAACAAACTGTCCAGTAACTTGGTGATCCAGCAAGTTATGTTTTCGCATTGCGAGAGAACTAAACACTGTGAACACAGTTGTCCTTCCTTTTGCTTTTTGCTAGTACAAACACATTCTAGTTGTTGTGGGCCTCAGACTCATGCGAGAACACCTGCTATTAGGAAATTACTGAAACACGTAGTTTCATGGTCCCATTCTCAACTCCTTGTTCCTGGAATATTTCCAGAGTACAGTTTCCCTTGCACAGTTTCAGGAATAAACAAGCTTGGAATTGATTCACAGAATATGAACTCAGTTGAGCATAAATGGGAGGAGCAGAGATGAGGACTCTAATGTTTCAGCATTAGTAAAATGCATTGTTGCTCTTTGCTTTCCCACACAAATTGAGTTTCCTTTTCTGTATTGCTAGGCATGCCTTTTGTAAATAGGAACAAAGTACAAGTAAATAGGACCAGTCTCAATCCTTTAGCCAATTTTTTCATTAAAAAGTAGTAAAAAGATTTCACCCTGCCAGAAGGAAAACGATGAGCTATAATATTTATATTTGTGTTATTTCCCACCGTCTATTAGGTGAGAAAATGGGACTTTGCTGTCTGTGTTTTTAACATTCTAATGATTTGGCAAATACCGTCTTGTGCCTTATTTCTTATTTGATGGGCAAATTGATTGCTATTATAGGTAATCATGTGCTGGGACTGATGTCAGTTTGTCCCTAGTGTGACTTAATGATTATTAACACTAGCATAAGGGGACGCATAACCCAGATTGGTCTTAAGATAGACCTTACAAAAAGAGTCCATGAATTACTGTTTTCCTTTTAATGTATTGAAGAGAGAACTTACCTCTCTGTAAATACAGCATGCTCACTGATGCACTTTAATTGGTGGCAAAGAAATTTGTAATAAGCCTAAAATTAAATCCCTTTTTTGTTTGCAAAGATCCGAGCTTTTTTGGTATTTAAAAAAAACAAAAAACTGACCCACAGGCTCTTATCGGTGAGCTACAAGACAAGCGCAACAAGCAAAGCCCAGTCCTTGTAGAAATGGTGCTGGGTCCTACCTTAGAAAATGTGATTCTGAGGAATAGGTGTACACCTAAATACAAAAAGCTTCCTCATAATGTCTTGTTCGGTACAGCACATAGTTTGATTAGTGAATGGGGTATATCATCATCCTACTGTTATGTGCTATCTGATATGATAGTCTTGAATTTTTCTTTGGTTTTAGCCTTCTCAAGAAGAACAACTCAGTGCTTGTATCCCTGGCCCTCCAGGTACCAGCACATCTGCCTTGAACAGCTTGGTGGCCTCTTGTGCATCAGCAGTTGGTGTGAGAGTAACTGCTACGTATGAAGCTGGAGCATTGTCTCTGAAGAAAGTAATGAACTTCTATGGCACACCTTCAAGTGAACCACGATCTCAATCTGGTGGTGGTTCCCCAGGGCCTGAAGCTCTGAAAGACAGTCGAGAAGAGCAGGTCAGATTGGAATCCATGCAGGGAAAGAAGAGTTCCAGTTTAGTAGATATTAGAGAGGAGGAATCTGAAGGAGGGAGTCGAAGGCTTTCCCTGCCTGGCTTGTTGTCACAAGGTAAACAAGCACTTTGTGAAAACCAAGAGACTAGACAAATTAGAATGATGTGGACATTTATCACAAAATAAAACATGTTTATTGAACATAAATCTAATCATCTACCAAAGGTGTTTATGAATTGTAAACTGTATCTTAGGACTTCAAGGCAGTGGGGGGAGTGAAGGCTAGCAGATACCGCATGCTAAGAAAACTGAAAGCGTGATGGGTTTAGGAATGTTCTTTATTGCTAAAGGTAAGGTAAAGTGGGCACATTTTAGTAGTCTAGGCATCTTATTGCAAAATGATGGCAAACTGTCTTTCATGTAGGTTGCATAGCAGATAAAAATCTGCGTGGCCTGTAATCCCTGCTGCACTGAGCTGGTTTTGAGCCAGGGACCTAGAAATATTCCAGTTCCTGCTGCCAAACTTCAAAGTTAATGAGCTTCTTCCCTCGTAGATTTTAATGTTGTTAATTGCTCTGAATGATGGATACATGGTTTAGTTCTATATTGATCTTGGATCTGAGGGGAGATTTTAGAAAGTATTGAAATCTTTTGTGCACTGCAAGGATATATTTTCATTCAATATGTACTTTTTTTTTTAATGTATAGTTTTTTTGGTTCATTTGCTTCAGTATGACTGTATAGTTCTCATATGCCTGTTGTCCTTTAATAGGTGGTAAAAATTACTTGGGATCTGTCTACTTCTAGCACAAATGTTACTGCTGTGTATCAGTAATCTGTCTTCTTACGTCAGCCTTTGCTCTCAGTCTTAATTAAGACCTCTTTAAGAAGTCTTCATCAGTTATCTCAAATGGTACTGTTACCTAAAATGATGAGCAATTTTTCTCTCTCTTTGCCTGTGTTCAGTTTCTCCTAGGCTCTTACGGAAGGTAGGGCGGGCAAAAATGAGGACTGTAGCTCTGACTCCAACCTACAGTGGTGAGGCTGATGCGCTTTTACCCTCTCTAAGAACGGAGGTATGGAGCTGGGGAAAGGGGAAGGAAGGACAGCTAGGACATGGCGATGTTCTGCCACGGTGAGATTTCTTTCAGAAATCCTTTTTAGTGGGTCCCTGGGAAATTTTGAATATTCAACTTTCTCAATCAGTGCCTTGCGCTGTGTTCTTGTTCTTTTGTGTTGTGACCTAAGTTCTTCCAAATAATGTGTTTTATGCTGTATTGTTACTGTGTGTCTATCAGTTATGACTTATCCCCTTGTAATCACTGGGACTTTTGGTGATATTTTTACTTTGTCCAAGATGAGGTGAAGTTTATCATCAACTTTTGCCCTTCATGACTTTTTTAACTAAGCTGGTTTATTGCCAAAAGACTCCATATATGTTTGTTTTCTCCAATTTGTTTTTGGGGAAAAAATAAAACTTGGAATTAACTTTTGATTTAAGAATACCTCTGATAATCTGTTTTCCTCCCCTCCCTGGGTTCTGGGGACTGGCAGGCTTCAGCCACTATGTGTGAAAAGCCTAGATGGTAAAGAAGTGATTCACCTCTCTGCTGGTGGCCATCATTCCTTAGCACTCACTGCCAAATCCCAGGTATAAGTGATTATTGTTTATCTAGGACATAGTTGTCACTTTTGGTGTTTTCTACACTTTTGTTTCTTTTGCTTCTAAACTTTTGTTTCCATTTGTGGGAGGCAACTTGGAAGCAGTGTGGAATTGTAATTCTATTTCTGCCAAAGTTCTGCATGTACCATCAACTTGATGTGTAAAGATTGCAGTGACTTGATTTGGTGCCTTCCATTTCTGTATGTGAGAAGACAAGTTGAGAATATAGGAAGACAGTGGGAATGAGGGAAGTGCTTCTTGGTACATGAATCCTACACCCTTGACTTGTGTGTGTTTGCATACTTCATGTGTTGTACTACTACAATTCAGTATGTGTCCATGTATATAAACTTACATCCTGATGTTTAGCTATGTTTCTTACAGGTGTATTCATGGGGCAGTAATCTCTGTGGCCAGCTTGGTCACTTGAATTCCCCAACAACAGTCCCTCGTCTCACAAAGGTAGTTTGTTTTCTGTATTTTTGTGTTTTCAGTTTAGGGACTTTTCTTATACAAGTGAGTGCAAAGTAGCTTCTAGAAACTGACCTTGCTTATGGATCTGTGTGCTATATAGTAGCAGACTCCTTGGTGTGTTTGGCTTACACTGTGAATATGATCCTTAGATGAGCTTGTGAAAATCTACCCAAGAAATCCTTTACACAGACTTTCACTGGCCTTTGACTGCATTGAAGTTCTACAACTCAGAAATGTGGTTGATTTTATCTTGCTACCAAATTTCACTTCACCTTTGGTTTCTCTGATATCAGTGTTGCAGTGCTGAAACTTTTCAATACTTTGGAACACTGTTTTTGTTCTAAACAATTGCTTCTACCATTTTTAGCTTTGTTAGACCATGACCATATTTGGTTTTGTTTCTGTATTTCCAGAGCTGTTTTGGCAGTGGGTTTTCTGTTTGTTTTGAACTTTTCATCACATTGAGCGAATAGCCAAATAATGGTTTTGGGGCTAGACAAGATCCTTTCCTATGTTTTCTGGTGCTTGTCTTGGTGGAAAACTAGTTGCAGAGTTTTCCTGCTTAGGCCTTATGCAAATTAATGTATAACATGTTAACTGTCTCCAAAATTTATTGAATGTGTTACTTTAGTTAAATGTAGAGGGGAGAATAGTGTCTTAACTTTAATCAAGCTCACTTGATGTCTATTTAAAAATAAAACTGATTCATAATTTAAAGGCAAAAAATCAGCCATTACAAAGAAGGCTGGAAAGAAAGATAATTTTCTGGATACATGCAAGAAGTATATGAGATGCTGAAGTTGAAAACTTACCAGTTATTGCAGTACTTTTTCTTGGCAGGAATATTACATGTGGCTAGAAGAGTTAAGTACTCTCTTCTCCTTCCAGCTTTAGATCATGATTTCTAATGTCTTTTCCTTCCTCATGAATTTCAGATGTGTGGTGATGGTGTTTGGAGTACAGCAGCAGGACTAGATTATTCCCTCTTCTTAGCAGATGAGGAAGACTTCCAACCTGGATTATATTACAGTGGCCAGGAGACAACAACAGAAGATAATTTGTATGAAAATAGCTGTACTAAGAGTCCAGTTTTGCTGCTATCCTGTAGTAAAGTGAGTGGTATTTCCTTTAAGTTAGTGCAAATCATACTGATGCTTTTTGGAAACAGCACAGTGCTGATTGTTCAGCTAGCTTTAAGGGTGTCAAGTCAAGTAACTGGTTTCTAGCGGTCAAATTGGGAGCACAGCTTATGGAGGACAGAGAGGGAGGCCTAATTAGTATTGTTCTCTTCCCTGCCTGTCGTCTTGGTCTTCTATGTGAGGGACGAGGAAGTGTTTCCAGTGTATCTAATTGATTTCCTTCAATGCGTGCATGCTGCAGAAGTGTACCCTTATGTTGTGCTCTGTTTTGACCACAGTCTTCGTATGTTTATTCTTCGCTGCTATTGCTCCTCATTTTCCTGTTGTTTCTCAAGTGATTAAGAGCACTTCCTGCTGTATTCCATTCTGCTTCCTGTGCATCTTGTTTGAGAATGGGCAGGAGGTCCCCCTGATTTTTGCACCATCTCCTTCCCTCCCCCTCCTTTTCTCATGGGTCTAAAGGGGGAACTGAGCAAAGGCACCAAAATGTACATTTGCATGTTTATGGGAGAGAAGAGGTGCCCCTATGCAATTTTTTGCATCAAGCTGAATCATATCTGCCTTGAAGTTGACATGAGGTGGGGAAATGTGTGCTCTGCACATCCTCTTCCAAGTTGTTTGTATGATTTCAGGCCAACTTGAGTTTAAAGTAACGAAAAGGAGACGGGTGAGGGTAGAATGCAGCTCTTCTGGATGTTGTTGCTACTTCCCTAGATTGATCAGAATAGCAGTTGGAGAGGCATTTTGAGGAGGGACGGGGGTTTAGACACTGGATCCATGCATGTGCGTGCATGCATGTGCACACATGTATGTGATCTCAGACACACACACACTTGTATTCCTTCTATAAGATTGTTGCTAGCCATTCCCTTCTGTTCTCTTGTAGGGTGACTTGTAGGCTCTTGCATATCAGAACTGGCCTGTAGGTTGCTTGTTTAACAACTCTGACTCAATGTTTCTAAGGAATCCTCTATTTAACAACAAAGGAAATAAACCTAGAGCTGAAACACTGAATTACTATATGGTAGTGCATGTGAAATGATATTAATGATGAGCCACAATGTATCAGTGGCACTTGTGCTGACCTTAGAGAAGAATTTTGCTTCGAACTACTGTGGAAAGCAAATATGTACTAACGTCACTTGTGGTGTTAGTGTAGTTATTAGTATTAGTCCCGTTTATTGATACTGTAATACTACTCTTATCAATAAAATAATGTCGTTCAGGTCCAGAAAGGGCTATAGTTCAGAGCACAGTCATAATATTAAAGTCTTGTTATTCTCGCTTTCTAGTTAATAGGCAAAATAGCTGATGTAGTGATACTATTTAATATCAACATTGTTGATGTAAGTGTAAAGTATATTGCAGTTCTAAAAGAGATTGAACTTAAGGTCACTGTCTCTTAAACATGGAATGGTTGTATGAGTCATTTTAAAAGATGGTCTATTTATTGTGTTTTAGGTTCTGTCGGGACCAGGAAAATGAACAGCATTGACTGTAAATGTTTCTATTCTTACTGTTCTTGTACTAAGACAGTATTGAATGAATTGTAAAAAGAAAAGTATTAAAGCTGCTGTTTTTTCTTTTCTCTTTTTCGTGTTTCAGATAGGGTACATAAGCAATGTGATAGCTGGTGGTCACAACTGTTTGGTCTTAGTAGACAAAAACGTAATGGGATATATTGCCAGTTTGCATGAGTTGGCTTCTACTGAGAGAAGGTTTTATTTCAGACTGAGTGAGATCAAATCTCAGGTTCTTAGACCTCTTTTAGGATTAGGTAAGGACTTCTTTTAATATTTTATTTGATGTTCTTTCCCCTAGATTCCAAAACAAATATAATTACTCTTAAATTACACATAATTTAAAAGTAATTATATATTTTTAAGATAAAGCTAAGGTCTTACTCTTGTACCCAGTTTACGTGAACTGGTGAAATACAGCTGCATTTTGATGTCTGCAGTATGCTATTAGTATTTGCACTTTCCTGACTGTTTCACTTTAACTTAATCATTTGAGCTGTATTTAGTCTAAAATTGTTGAATTCCTGATTCTGGATAATATAGTTATGAGGTGAAATTGCCAATAAAACATCTAAACAGTACTTTGTGGTAATTCCCTTTATTAATGGGTGCTGCTCTTTCGCAAGGTAGGCTAAATTGTTTTCTGATCTGTTACAGATAATTTGGGCAATGCAAATACAAGCTTCTGTAAGCAGCTTTCTTCATGGAGTGAAAGAAGCCAGGAGCTTGGCCATCCTGAAGCATTCCAGTCTCTTTTTGGATAGTTACACTGAGCAAGTATCCAATTCCTTCTCATTCTGATTCTCTGCAGGCTTAGTCTACCACCCACAACAAGCCCTGAGTTAGGGGACAGTAGATTATAAGGAAGGCTACGTAAGTAACTGTTGTGCAAATTGTATTCTTGGAGTTTAAAATGTATGGAGAGTTTTACACAAACTAATTCATTTTGTAGTGAGCTATGTTTCAGAGTCTTCGCCAGTGGAGCACACTGGACAGCTTCAGCTTCCTAATGTAAAACTCTCCCAGAAGAATGATTCTTCCGTCCTGATATCTGCTAAATAGCTAGCATTACACCTTTCACCCAAAAGACAGCTGCTTTAGTGCTCAGAATTAAGCTTGAATTATCCTGGTTACTATTTTTATTAGCTTAATGCTTTTGGGAGACGAAGTCTATACAGTCACACTGTCTATGCAGTCATGCATAAACGACATGTATGCTGTCTTTCTCCTCAATAACTTTTGTAGTTGCTGGATGATTTCATCCAAATGTAGTAGAAGTCTCATCATATTTAATACCTACAGGCTTTTGTGAAAAATACCAGCTTGACAGAGCGGAGAGTCTAAAAACGTCCTCTCTGAACGTAGTCTTGGTTACCAAACATCTGAAAATCTCTAAGGAAACAAAATTTCAAGATCATCAATTTCAGTTGCTATGCAGTAGCTTTTTGAATATGCAGCTAGTTGTACTTTTTTCTAACACAGGCACAACAGTTACCACTTTTACTGGGCCAGTGATAAACTTATGCCATATCACCCTAAAAGAAGCTTTCTTGTCCATTTATCAAATGTGTTGTTCATAATTGTAAATATGTATTTTCTCCCTTCTTAGCCTTTGACTTCAGTTTTTCTTGTAACCTGGATTTACAGAATTGATTCTTATTACTCAGATTAGATGGGTTTCTTAATTTCTTCTTCTTCCATGTCAAAGACTGAAATACCTAATTTCTGTTCTCATTGTTACTGCCTGTTACTGCTTTCCCCCTTTGCTTTCTAATGCATTGCACGTTTTTCTGTGTATGGCATCAAAACCTATGCATGCTCCTCAGCATAGCGCCTTGAGCATCCTCCAAAGATCCATCAGGCGATGTAAGTATTACCTGTCAATTGGGCTAAGCTGAGACGTCTTCCCTCAGAGAAAGGTGGTTTTTTTTAAAATGGCTTTCTTTTTTTGGTAGGGGAAAAGTGAAAGTTAGAATGTTGAACAGCAGGAAAAGAGAAATGCTGATCTTTAAATTTCCATCTTGAATATAATTAGAAGCTATCAGTATTAAACTGTTGAAACAGATGGCCTATTCTGTACACACCCAAATTTGGGAGAAACATAAAACTTGAAGTTTTGTTTGCATAGTAAGCTCTGCATTGTGCTAATGGCAGCAGAAATATGGAATAGTAATGTATGTTCTATGCTCCATGTGAAAAGCGAATACTAAGTGTTCCAGTACCATCGAGTGTTTCACTGTAATATTTTCTCAAGCAGTTGGATTACTTATTGTCGTGGTTTAGCCCTGGCCAGCAACAATCACAACGAACCATGCGGCCACTCTATCGCCCCTTCCCCCAGTGAGGTGGGGAGAAGAGCGGGAAGAAAAGGGGTAAGTCAGGATAAGGGCAGTTTAACAGAACAGCAAAGGAAGTGAACAGTAACAACAACAGTATTGATAAGAATATACAAAACGAGGGAGTACTCAGGGCAATTTTCTCACTGCCGGATGCCCAGTGCATTCACGAGCAATGATTAAACTTTCCCAGGCCAGCTTCCCCACTCAAAGCCAAGCATGGTGTCACATGGGTGGCCAGTTTGGGTCAGCCGGCCTTGCTGTGCGCTCTCCTGACTTACTGTGAAAATTAACCCTATCCCAGCCGAACCCACTTGTGCAGCCCCACTTGTATAGTAAAAGATGTTACAGATTTCACTGGTAAACTGTTGGAAATTACAACGGTTGCTATTTCCAGGGATGTTCTTGTTTTGTAATTGAAGATCTTTCTTCTCCATTTTAGGTACTGTACTTCAGTAACAAACTTCCTTGTAATGGGAGGATTTATGCTACTTGCAAAGCCAGCAGTGTAAGCAAACCTTTACCATTTTCTGGAGTTTTTGATCAACTAGCAAAGACCTGTACTTTAAAGAATTGTGTGTGTATGTGTCTAGTAATGAGCATGCAGAGACCTGATCTCGGCTTGCTTGAGTACACTAATAGGTTTTCCATCAGATGAAGAAAAAGTTACTTCCCCTCAACTGTGATAAATATTTAGTTTAAAATGCTGCTGAATTAGTTCAGTTACTTTGTCTTGAAGGTGGAGAAAGGAGGAAAAAAGCATTAATTATTGTAAATTCCTAGAAAGAAATGTAAATAGATCTCAGATAATGATTTTTTTGAAAGCTTAGCTTGAGGTTAAATTTTCGTCATCTATTCAGTGTTTGTTAGTATTTTATTCTTTCACATATTGCTGTCAAGAAAATACAAAAGAAGAGCAAACTTCTCTTGAAGAATTAGTAAGAGTAGGTAATGTGAATTCACTTTCGTTTGAATTCTTTAAGTTTATGGAAACACTTTAAAATGATGCAAAAATAACAACATGTCTGCATGTGTATCTTCTCTGCCTCTCAAGGTTGCCTTACTTTTATTTCATGCAGAGATGCTCTTAAATGTGAGGAAGGAATTGCACCTTAAGGCCCGTGACAGTATATTTGAAGTTTATAGATCATATAGTAAAGCTTTTTTCTCTGTTCAGTAGTATTTTTGTCTGGGAAATAAAGTAACAACACTGTGCATCTTTCACTCTGGTGCTGTGAAGAAGTTGTTGCAATGAGGGTATTTTTTTACTTGTCTGATGAATTGCCAGCTTTGCTTCCGACCTAAATTCTGTAATCTGGGAGTAAGTCTGTTACAGCTGTTATGGAGCACTTTGAATTTTGTGTAAATGATGCTATTGGACGTTCTTTGAAACGCCAGGGTACCTAGTGCAAAGAATCTTCTGCACCTGAGGACCAGTGCCAAAGACTAAATACAAAATCCCATTGCAGAGAGACACTGAGAATCTTTCTGCATTGGTCAAGATTTTTAGGGTGACTTAAAGGAAATCTTAGTTTCAATATAAGCTTCTTTATAATTAGTATAGAGAAGTTCTGGATGCTGAAATTACTTGTACTGAGTTCTTCACATCAGTTGTCACTGTCAGGTGTCACAACTTCTACTGCAATCAGGGTCTCATTAGGTGAGTAACACTTTTTCAGGTTCTGAAACTTCAGGGAGAAGATGTCTTAGAAGTTTTGTCCTGCTACGTGCAAAGGGAAGTCAAGAATATCTTTCCTGATAATGATTAGTTTTTCCCCCCACTCCCTCCCCAAGGGATGTTTTAAGTGAGTCGTTAATGATGTCAGCCTGTCTTTTATGGATATTCTGCAATATGAATGCATTAGCAGTAGTCCCAACTTTTAAAAAGTGCTAGGTTCAATAGAAGTCTCCGTTGTTGGCAGGTTTTTGAGCATGTCCTCTGAAAGAGTAGATGAGCTATGGTGTTATGAATCTGTTATTATTTGACACTTTTCTACAGAGACCTCCATGCGAGGGTCTTGAAGCACTATAAAAATGCAAGCTATCCAGATGGTTAAATTTAAAATTAAGAAATATGGTCTTCTCTAAAGAAGACTTTATTCCTATGGCTTGTTGAACAAGAGAGTTCTGAAATATCATTAGCAGACCTAGACGAGGTACATTATTTTGATGTGTGAAATGCTATCTTATTAATCATGTAGAATTCTTAGGGACCCTGCTGTGAAATTCCCTAATCTGTTTTGCTGTCCCTGGGGCCTGCTTTCTGAGGCTCACCTGGTTCTTGGAGTTTGTGATTTAAATGCTTACCAGCTGGATGTGTTTTAATGCACATGTCATGTGTGCCACACATCTGTGCACAAAGATATGGTGAAGGAGAGGGAGAAGTAGGTTTGTTTTCCTTTTAATGAAGAAATCCTGGGTTCGTGTGCTAATGTACTGTCTTCGGAATCATTTCCCTCTTCTTCTCTGAACTAGATTAGTTCTCCCTCTTGGAAATCAGACTGAGGATTGAACAGATTTCCTGCCTTTCTTTGAGGTAGGATGTAATTTTTCTAGTTAGGGGAAAAACTGGTCAGTTGCCTTGAACAGCAGGGGTGGGGAAGAAATTATTTGGATATGTTTTTAGGGAAGTGCACTGGAACAAGGTTAAGATTCTTTCAGGCCTTCTTGTGCGAATCAACAGTGTTTGAAACTTACTACTCTAACAGTAATGGGGAGGTCATTGCACCTGTTAGTTCTTTTGCTAACCAACTGTTAAAGGGGAAAAAAGTTACTCTCCAAGTGGGACAACTTAATGAGTGAGATTGTGAGACTAGAAGTAAAAAATGTCCTGTGTTGCAGTTGTTTGAGAGCTACATGTCTGTATTACTGTACTTCCTTAACCTAAATTGGGAATAGATTAATAAGCAGCATGCATTTGCTTTTGTAATTTTTATTGGTTTGTGATAATCCAAAAAGGGGCATTCTGAGCTCATTTATATAAAACATCACTGATGTCTTGCTGTCTTTTTTTCTTTTCTCCTCCCTCTGTTCCCCAATGGTCCCATCATTTAGAGACTTCTTGAGTAAAAATCAGGAGCTGTTACAGAAACTAAGTGAGAAGAATGAGGAAAACCTCCAGCTAGTGGAAGTTCTGAATGCTCTGTTTTTCATGCCATTTGGACGACTTCATAATTACGCTAGAACTTTGCTAAAGCTTGCCACGTGTTTTGAAGTGGTAAGCTGGCTTTGTTATCTATATCTGAATAAACATACATATGAAACTTACGGCTCGGAAGTAACTGTGTGAAGCAAATGCCAGGTAATGAGAAATAGCTTAGTCCTCAGAGAAGCTACCTTAGACTTGTATTTGCTGCAGAGAAGATCATGCACATTTATTTGTGCAATCTTACACCACACCTGCACAGATCACATGACGGTAGAAACTTGTTACCCTGCCAGAACTTGTTTGTGTGCCTGAGAGCTTAATTACAAATACAGTATTTGCTGTTTACCTGTTGCTTTTCAGTTCGATGTGGCATCATTATTGTAGCTATCCTTGGCTGTAATACTCTACTAAAAATACTACAGATATATTAGGTAGACTTTTACCAACCATTTAGATGTATATAATTGCATTCTTTTGAAATAAAAGCTGACTAAACAAGATCAATAACTCTTTGTACATTTATCCCAATATAGTCATTTAAAGTATTACTCCTGCAATTATTAGCATGACTTCTGCTACAGCTTGTTAAGCTGCAAGAAGGTAGATCATGTAATCATATATTAGTCATTCTCCTCTTAAAATTCATAGAACTTTTGTGATTTTAAAAACTCCCAGCACACCAACAGAACATGTGACCAAGAAAATAACTTAGCCTCCACTGTTACTTTATTAACCAGACCAACTGTCATGTGTTTGGTGCTGAATTAATAAAATGAGCAGTTGCATTGCAGCTTGGTTAGTGTTGTTGGCACAGGTGTTCAGAAATACTCTTAGGTCTGTCTTACCTTGTGCCCTATAGGCATCTCCAGAATACCAGAAGCTACAGGATTCTAGTTCTTGTTATGAGAGCCTTGCTGTCCATCTTAGCAGAAAAAGGAAAGAAGCAGAATACACACTTGGCTTCTGGAAGACCTTTCCTGGGAAAATGACGGTATAATGACAATTGTCAGTCCATTAGCAGTTTGAAACTCTTGCTGTTAGCATTATATCCTGAGTCTGTTACTGATGCTGCTGTCCCAGTTGCACGTCTCATTTTTCTAATTCGTGTTGATGTAGTACTCAACTTTTGGGCCTTTGCTATGAAAGACATATAGCATTGACCTTAAGTCACAATCAGTGAGAAGTAAGCTTCTGTAATTTTCTTTCAACCCTACCTGCAGGATTCCTTGCGGAAGCCAGAGCGTCGTTTAATCTGTGAAAGCAGCAATCGGGGGTTGTCCCTACAGCATGCTGGAAGATTCTCTGTAAACTGGTTCATCCTCTTTAACGATGCTTTGGTACATGCTCAGGTAAGCCAGCTTGTATCCAGGAACAAAACCTTTTCTTTGCTTCAAACAATATGACATACTTTTCATGTAGTGAAGATAAGTTTTTGCACTGTTCACTGCAGTGTTACTTGAACACTTAAAAGCGATTTTTTTTTTTTTTTTATGTTTACAGATAAATTTGAAATGATGTACTATTTTTAAATTTTTTTTAATGTTTTATTGCTGTTGCCCTGTGGCTGGCATGGCTATTTCTCAGAGCAAGGTGCATAGAAGGAGCCTGTAATGCTCAGTTTTCCTTAGTCCTCAAAGAAAGGAAAATAACTGTTCAGAAAAAGTATGTGGCAGGAGTAATGGATCAGTACCTGGTGAAGTTTCCCTTCTCCTTCTCCTTGCCTGCAGTTCTCAACGCACCATATTTTTCCCTTGTCTACACTGTGGGTAGAAGCTCTTTCAGAAGAAGCTGGTAGTGTGTGAGTATCCTTGCTTGTGATGCTGAAATAACCAGGTATCTTGGGAGGGACGATGAGCATTTTGTAACCAATTATTGTAAACTAGGAGCTCAATAGGCTGGATGCAATCATGTCTAGTCCTCTTTCTTGTTTCAGAAAACTTACTGTATTACTGTGTGTCAAAAAAAAAAGTTGTATAAGCATCAGAAAGAATAAGGTAGTCAAGAGGAAAACAAGCAGTCTTTTCTGCTGCTTCTTTTCACTACTGACTTTAATACTGAGTAAATGCTAGGTGGGCTGTGGGAAGGAAGATACAATATTCATGCTCTAAGAAACCTTGCCTTTTTCAGGATGAATTTTCACTAGATTAAAATTCCTCCCCTCCCCTCCCCTTCCCCCCCCCATAGGAGTGGATTGAAGATTACAACACCAGAAGAACAGTTTGTTCTTGTTTCTTCAACACCACAGGAAAAGGTAGGCATATCTACAAATTTTACATGGCTTCAGTGATATGAATGAGTTTTTTCTCTCCTACTGTGAAACCAAAAGAGAAGTACTGCATAAGTATTCACCAAGAATGAAGTCTTTCTACAACTTCGTATGCAGGTTGACTGTAGCAGTGCTCCAATTTACAACACTGTACTGAGGAGTGCAAAAGAGACTATTGTAGTTGCTATAAGGGTGAGATTCAGTGCAAAGACAGATGTTAGCTAAATTCTGTGATGAAACACTTTCTGTTTCAGACGAAGTGGCTGAGAGCAATAAGCCAAGCAGTGGATCAGGCCCTTAGAGGGACTTCTGACTTAATTCTGTATGGAGCTGGTGGGAATGTGCCAAGACAAGAACCTCCTATTTCTCGCAGTGCCAAATACACCTTCTATAAGGACCCTCGATTTAAGGATGCTGTTTATGATGGGAGATGGCTTTCAGGAAAGCCCCATGGCAGGTAAAAACATTTGAACGTAGCAGCTGGAAACAAAATAAGGTGATTGCTGTGTCAATAAGTGGGCTCATTCACAGAAGTTACTTGTGAAGTGCAAAGTGAACTGATTATCTTATAGATGTGTGTGGCTTTGTGTTTTTTCCAGAGGGATCTTAAAGTGGGCAGATGGAAGAATATACTCTGGGACTTTTCGGACTGGGCTGGAGGATGGGTAAGATCCTCTCACTACTTGCGGAGCCAGAAGGCAAGAAATAACTTTTGTTGTAGGAGATAATAACAAAAACCTTTTAATTAAAAAGTTTTGCAGTGCATCTTATTGACTCTTACTGAAGGTCCTGTGCAGCCTGCTGTAGGTGACCCTGCTTCGGCAGGGGGGTTGGACTAGATGACCCACAGAGGTCCCTTCCAACCCCGAACATTCTGTGATTCTGTGACTCAGGGTTATGTATATTAACAAGATATCTATATATCAACATACAGACATAATTTCTCATTTATCCAGAGGTATGCTAGTTGTCTTCACAACAGACTCTGCAACTGCATAATTAAAAACTTGTGCTTTCACAAAAACTGAAACTTATTGGGGTAATCAGCTGTAGGATGGAGGAAAGAAATGGTGAAACAGCTGAGGAGAAAGAATGGGTAGGTGGCTGTAAATCCTAAGCAGAGGAAGCCAATTGAAAAGTGTGCAGTCAACTTTCTGCTGTATAGGTAACTATTAACTTTTTGCGTTGCAATATTCTTTCAGAAGTTCTAGTGCTGGGGTTTTTTTTATATTTCTAGAAAATGCAGTGCCTTTCATACAATGTAGTGATGCATCTTCTCTCATGTTTTCCTTTGTGTATTTCTGGTAGAGCAAGGATTTAATAGTTCAGGAAGGAGACAATAAAACCTTGAACTGAGACTTCAGAAAACAAAACTAATGACAGTATGTGATCCTGATGATTAAGATAACTAGTACAGAGGAGTTTGAAAATAGGATGTGTGGAAGTCCTAGATATTGTCAAGTTTTCTGGTCAAACAAATGAGACCACTTCAAAGTAACTCAATTTATTACACAGGTTTGAATTAATCTATGGATTTCATTGCTAAGAATCTGCTTAGGGCACTGTTGAGGCTAAGAGGTTAACTCCTTTCCAAATGCATTTTTATGTGAATCTTGTGAGCAGACATGTCTGTACTGGGCAGGATAAAAATAAATGAGGACTCCCATTGGCTTCCAGATGTATTTTTGAAGTATTGAGTTGGAGGGGAAATAGAAATGTCATCTGGCTGCATACAGCTTTTTTAAAATGCACCTTCGCTATTGGTATAATGTCAAACTATAAAACTAGATTAGCACTTCGATCATTTTTAACTAATAGTAAGTGTAACTAACCGTGGTGATTTTAGGGTTGTTAGACATGGAAATATTACAAAAAAATCCCCACGAGAAATAAATGGATTGATATTTAGGTGTAATTGCTAGGATTGTCAGATGCATATATTTCTATTTCAGCATGTAGCAATAGAAATGTCTTGTTGGGTAGGCATGCTCTCAGGAGAACTTTCATAACTGGATTTTAATCTCCTGAGAAGATTAAAATCAATAAATAAAATTTCTGTGTCTCATTCTGTTCAGGCATACTGAAATTATGAACAATTCTGTGCTGCTCTTTGAGTATAATTGGAAGCTAGCATCTGTTCTAAACGCGTTCTCTGTAGCGATATATGTTTTCATCTTTCCCTGGAATAAAGGTGTGCTTGAATTATCAATACCTGAAGAAAACAGCAAAGGCAGAAGCAGTCTTAGGATGAGAAGACTTGTGGCCTTTAGAAAGCTGAGAAAAATGCTGCAGTAGTGGTAGAGAGGGGAATACTTACACAACATGCCGCAATCAAACAGGAGAAAAGCAGTATGGACTAAATTGACCTAGTGACGCTGCAATTCCTGCTTTCTCTTCAAAAAAATAACTTAAATGTAACTGCTGTAGTTGAAGAGATGCGCTAAAAATTATATAGAGCATTCTGATCTTAGAATGGATCTGTGATACGTATCTGTTCCTGTTTTTCGTGAAATGTGTTAATGTTATGTCTGCTTGTGTTCCATTTCCATGCGTTGACAGGTATGGTGAATACAGAGTGCCAAACAAAGCATTGAGTAAGGATGACCATTATGTGGGATACTGGAAGGAAGGCAAAATGTGTGGGCATGGAGTCTACAGGTAACACGTAGCACTTGTGTTGCTGTTGTTGCAGAAGGGAGAGTAGGGCTGATGCTCTGGCACACTGCTTACCAAGCCTCTGTGTGTAGCTTTCCTGTTCCATTTCAGACTTGTAATTATAGTTAGCTTGGCTTGTTCTCTGCTTTGCCTGTGGTGGACTGCTCACAATGCATACTTGTACAGTGTTCTGTTATTAGTATAAGTTCTAATGTTGCTACCACCTTTCAATAATAGAGGATTCTTTCTCCTGAGAGAGAAATACAACTTCTAATAGCCTTGCTTACAGGGGAGAGAGTTGCTTTAAAACAGCAAAGCATAAAAACACTTGTATTAAAGGCTCACTTTTATCCCAAATATACTTTTACTGCTGGATGTGGCTCCAATGAATTCTATAATACCTAGAAGCAAAAAGAGAAGGTTAATCTGTTCCGGGGAGTAAAAACCCAAGACCCCAAACCAACAGCTCCTCCCCCTCCACCCCAAACCCCACCCCCCAAAAAAGCCAACCCAACACCAAGAGGAAAAACAAAAAACCCCACAACAGAAAAGTAGATTATAGGATTCTTACTTATTCTCTCTTTTTCATTATAGCTATGCTACTGGTGAGGTATATGAAGGGTGTTTTCAGGATAACATGCGTCATGGGCATGGTCTGCTACGCAGTGGGAAGCTGACCTCTTCCTCTCCCAGTATGTTCATTGGACAGTGGACAATGGATAAGAAGAGTGGTTATGGAGTTTTTGATGATATCACAAGGTAATGCTTCAGTTCCATAAATCCTTAAACACTGGTATGACGTAGAATTGTAAAAAGAGTGGAAAGGGATTTCATCTGGATCTGTTAGCAGCAGTAGTAGTGCATGTCCCTTCCCCCCTGCCCCCTCCCCTCCCACCCCTTAACACTAGGATGCCTGGGTTGATGATCTAAAGAATTGAGTCTAGAGACTGCTTTTTGATGCTTCTGGAATACATGTGGGGGTTTTGTTTGCTTCGTTTTTTTCTGCCTGAATATGGTATCTTATTAAGGTATCTTGCTGCGCAAGCACTGAGAGTTTTATGAATGTCACGTGAGGAGTATTCTTTCATCTCAGGCCTATAAGACTGGGTTGTTCAGTGATCAGCTATACAGGACTAGGTAAATTTCAGCTTGTGCTTCGGTTTTCCATTGGCTTACTTTGTCAGTGCAGCAAAGGGGAGATACTTTCTCTCAGGGCATATTAGCGAAATGATGGTCTCAGAAGCAGAATTGCACTAGTTACGTGCACTGAAGGACTACTGTCTGAGCAGAGATCAATATAGTCTGTTTTTTGAGTCACCAATTTAATGCTGTTTTTTCCTGAAAAGAGAGCTTTTGGTGAAAGCCCAAGGAAACTGGTTTTTGTTTAACTGAACTGAAAGCCCACTGTTATAGTTTGGCTGCGGCCGGCAACAAAAGCACAACGCAGCCACCCCTCCCCCCCGCTGGGGGGCGGAAACAGGCAGAAACTGGTGGGTCAGGATAAGGGCAGTTTAAGAGAACAGCAAACAGAGGGAACAGTAACAACAACGATACAGATAAGAGAAGTGCCCCTGTCTCCCCGGAGCCGCGAGTCACTTCCCGCTGCCCAGCTCCCCCCAGCCAGAACCCGTCATGACGGCACATGGTGTGGAATACCCTGCTCTGTTTGGCCAGGTTGGGTCAGCCCGTCCAGCTGTGCCCCTTCCTGGATTCTGGTGAAAATTAACCCTGTCCTGGCCGAACCCAGGACACCCACTTAAGAAGCAGACAGTAAAAAGCCTGGAGGAGAAGGGGGTGTGTGGGTGTGCATATGTGGATGTTTTTCTGAAACAGAACTATTGTAGCATCTCTAGGTATTTCTTGATGTCAGTTTTCCGTCTAGTTTTGCTCAGTGGCAGTGGTTGTTCTTATACTCTAGTGTCAGGATGTCTCCACATACTTTATTTAGTCAGTTATTTATCTAAGACAAGCTAAAGAGATGGCAGCTTTCCTTGCAGGTCCTCTCACCTCCAGGATTTATAAATGCAGTGGCAGTTCTTGGCGGGGAAGGAGTGTGGCATTTGCTTTCTGTTCCAGAGTTACTCAAGTATGAGTGAGTTGTCCTCATGGTAGTTTTCTTTCTGGTCTCAGGGAAGGATATATGCATATGTTTGTGGCCCAAGGATTAATTTTCTTCACTTCTTGTTCTTCAGCCCAGACAAATAATAAATAGTTGCAGACACTCTTTATAACTCGCTGTCGTTATTGTAAACCAGTCATTTGTGCGAGTGGGGCTTCTACTCTGTTATGCTTCCATCCTGGTGACTGAGTATGCTGCATCTGTCTCTCCAAGAAGCTTTCACCCAACAAATACCACAGTTGCTGGCATGATGAATCAGACCAACATCCTACTAGGTTATGGGTCCAATCAGCTGGAAGGTACCCCTGAATTTAGATTAATGACTGGGCTTACTCTCTTTACTATGACCATAATTTTTCCTGGATACTGGAAGGAAAGTGCTCTGTGATAAGCGGAGTTCTATTAAACCATCACTAGTTTCCCTCTAAAAGCAAACAAAAAAAGTCCTTGACAAGTTAATTTTTTTCATTATTAATTGTATGGTGAAAACATCATGTTCTTTTTCAGAACAACTGTAAAAATAGATTGTTTCAAAATATTTGGGACTTGCACTTAGTTTCAAACACTCTAGCCTGACCTCTGTGGACTTACATTTACAAAATAGTATTTTAAATAGTAGTCTGAGAGAGGCGGATGTTTACTTGTGAGCAATCTTTAATTGTTTAATATTTTTTTTATGATGTGGCCTTAGTTAGGTTATTATCCAGAAACTTTCTACAATGTGATCTATTTCCTTGCAGTTTTGCACTCTGATATTTTCAAAATGTCATGTATGACTTTGTAGGTCTACCTCCTGTCCCCCAGGTAAAAAGGCTAGGTTTCTTTCATTTATTATTCTCTCAATTAAACTCTCATCTGACTTCAGGCAAAAAAATCAAAAGCTTTGGCAAAAAAAAAATATGCCTAAAATAAGCTTCTTGCATCTTTTTAAAATAACTTTTAAATACAATGTGTAGATGCCTGGTGAAGCTGAAGATCCCCTTTCATATGCAACTTAAATCTATGTAAAGCGGATTCGAATCAGCTAGCAAATTTCCCGGTTTCTTCTGTGCTGTGCCTACTGCTCAGGTTCCTTTGGATTTGAATTGGCCTTAACTGGGCTTAGCATTGTTTCAGGTTATCAGGAACACTTTGCTTGGATGTGGCCAATTTGTAATGTGAATTGTGAAAGGAAGTTCATTATAGTTTATTTCAATCAAAAAGAGTCATTATTTCCATGAAGCTAGTGCAACTAGATTGACAGACCTCAAGAAAGTGCTGTATGACTTTTTTCTAATGGTTTCTGTAATGGTCAAATACTGCAGTGAAGCCAAAGAACGGATATAAATGTACTAATTAGACTGTATTCTTCCTACCTCATTTTTCTTTAGAGGAGAAAAGTATATGGGAATGTGGCAAGATGATCTTTGCCAAGGCAATGGCGTCGTGGTTACTCAGTTTGGACTGTATTATGAAGGAGCCTTCAGCACCAACAAAATGATGGTGAGTTGAACACTGTGCTCTGTGCTATAGTGACTTTTCCAAGTGTGGTGGCTTTCTGGGGTACGTGAGTGAATGTTAGACTGTATAAACCTTCTGTTCTTCTAACCTTCTGTTGTCCTGGGTTTTTAAACTGTCTTCACAATCCCTTCTCTCTTTCACCTAGGACTACTTCAGAAACTGCTTTTAAAAAAAATTATTATTTGCTAAGAATTAGTAACATTTTTTCCAGTGTATCTTTAGATCTGCGATCTGGCCTTCTGTTACAATTACCGCTTTGTGTTCTTTATGATTTTCTTTATAGGGAACTGGAATTCTGCTTTCTGAGGATGATACAGTCTATGAGGGGGAATTTTCAGATAACTGGACTCTGAGTGGGAAGGTTGGTATTACAGTTGTCACTTGAAAACTGTCACCATCTTAAAAAAAAAAAAAAAAAAGTCTCTTTCCTTGTGATTTGGTTCCAAATGGATTTCAGTTAAATTTTTTATTATCTTCTCTCAAGGGAACACTGACCTTGCCAAATGGAGATTATATTGAAGGTCTGTTCAGTGGAGAATGGGGATCTGGGATAAAAATCACAGGAACCTACTTCAAGCCTAGCTTGTATGAGAATGAGAAGGACAAACCTAAAGCATTGTGAGTGTTGAATAAGAAACAATTTCTCATATGGTTCAGTAATACTATTGTCTTTTTTCAAAGGCCAGATAAAATTTTTTTTTCCAGAGAAACAGATTTTGAAAACATTTTTTCTTTCTGATTCCTTTTCCCTCCTGCTTAGGAAATAAAATAAGATAAAAATCTTCTTTATAGCTGTTCATGCTTTAATTACTACTTGAATACGCAAGTAACAGCATGAAAGTACAGGATAGCCAACCTGCTGCTTACTGTCCTGTAGCAGTCTCAGAATGTTTTTTATTTATATCTGAACTGATTATTAGAACCCGAGTTCACAGCTGCTGATGACTTCTGAGGTACTGAGAAAGACTAAGTTACATCTGAGTGATTAAGGCAATCACAGACCTCTTTGCCTTCTGCCAATTATTCTGTTGGTAAATTAATTCATATAATGTGTCATTCAATAATGCCAGTGGGGATACATTTGGACAGAATTAACTAGTTACTATGCCTCTTCCAAACAATGCATAAGAAAATAGTAGAAAAAACTGCTGAATTGCAAGAGAGAGTATTTTAACAACTTGGCAAAAAGTAATTTTGAGAAGTATCCATACAACCCTATTTATAGCAGATGCATTAGGTCAATTTACTTCATTATCTTTGCAGAAAAATACGTTTGCTTTATTTAAGTCATAACTGAGATGACTTTCAGTAGAAGAATTTAAGTAAATTTACAGAGTTGTTGGTGAAATTTCAGTATTTGGTAGCACTGTATACTGGTTTACAATAGTAGTAATTGTTGTACAGGATTCAATATATTTGAAGCATACTCTCAAATTTCAGATTAAAATGGGAAACACAATGCTAATGTTTTTACCTAGATTACTTCTCGGTGTGCTTCCTGAAGCATTCACTGGTAATTTCTCGTGACAGTGCTGACACCTACAACAGGATGCAAAGTTAAGCAGGCCTCCCTGCTGATTTTTTTTGCTGAACTGAAGACTTGCAACCTTAGCAACTGTCTGCTTTTTACCCTAGTAGGGAGTCTATGAATAAATGTATGTACATATTTGTGAAGATTGCTTGTGAAATAAGGGTTTCATGTACCCTTTTCCAGCTCTCTTGAAGTTGACAATCTTGTGGTATAATTTGTGATAAGGCTTAGAGCCTACTTTTTCTGCTTTTTTGAAACTTGGAAGCACGGGGAAATACCTGTGTAGCTAGTTCTCATCTCAAATGTAGTGGAAAAATATTAATGAAAGGTCTGACTATTTCTGACACTTGATTTAAATCAAGATAGAACTGTTAACCCTGACAGCATTTATTTGTGTTATGAAAGCTTTTCAAAGCCCTAAATTTCATTACATGTCTGAGATGCAGAGATGCCTGTACATACAGGGAGAACAACAGTTCTTGGTTTTCTTTTGGCTATAGAGGATCCCTGACCACCGGCTGTCAGTGAAAAGGTGCCTGAGCTGGTTTTACCCTCTACCAACACATCCGTAATGTGTCATGTGATGTCACATGTAGATACTATTTTGGGGGCAGAAGCCTTGTATCCGTTCGTGGTATTTATCTGTGTAGCTATGCTATTTGTACATTCCAGGATAGTGAGATATTTGGGATGTTTTTGTACTGTCTTTGCTATGTGAATCTGTCCTGAGCCTTCTGAATGAATGCCAGTGGTGAAGATAAGCCCAGTTAAGTGCAGTATGTCCTTTTTTCTTGGAAATCAAACCAGTCCTTTTTGCATTAAACCATTTCCTGGAAGAAGAAGACTACAAGAAAGAAAAAGACTGACTTGTCTAATGTAATAATGTTCATAGTTTTTACCACACGTAGGTATTAAAAACATTTTAATCTTGTAGCATTATAATGTGTTGCATGGATTAATATATGTTAATTAGCAAGGAAAAGAATTAAGGATAACTTTAAGGTCTTTTTAAAAAGGTGTTGGAACTCAAGACATTAATTAAATAGTAGGTTCTAGGTTTATTCTTAGTGAAACTTAGTTCACAGTAGAGACTAAGTGTATCAGCTTTCGGTAAAATAGTATGAGATATTAGATTGACATTAGCTATAGGTGGTTTTCATAGCTGAATATGTTGTTTCACGACTGTTTGATTTTAACAGGCTAACTGGTCATTTTATTAGGCGGAAACTTGGGATCCTGGCAGTGCCTCCTGATGAGAAATGGAAGGCAGTATTTGAAGAATGCTGGAACCAGCTTGGTTGCGAGAGCCCAGGCCAGGGGGACAGATGGAAGGCTTGGGACAACATTGCAGTGGCCCTGACCACCAACCGACGGCAACACAAAGATAGGTTGGTTCCTAGAGACTGTAGTCAGCAAGGTGAAGAAAGTATTGAGAAAGAAACTGAAATCTCTAACTGTAAAAGTTCAAACAACAAATCCTAGAGAAAATCAGAACTCTGCACTATAAACCTTTTCAGGGACATACAGATGTTTATAATTAGTTCAGTTGTTAGCTTCAGGTTTTTTCCTACTGTATGTCTAATAAATAATTTGTACAATGTATTTGTCCTTTTTATAACTGCAGCCCAGAATTATTGAGCCGCTCACATACTCAGACACTGGAAAGTTTGGAGTTCATTCCACAACACATTGGTGCCTTCACCCTGGAAAAATATGAAAATATAAGAAAATATTTGACAAAGGTATTGTGACTCTGAAATGCTCACGTAGCTTGTTGGTAAGGCTCACTTTGTAATACCTGGTTGTCAAGCTTACTTTGTAATACTTTTTCTTAATTCATTCCATATTTGCACTCTTGTAATCCATGTTATATTCATTCATGTTTGCTCATAACATCCTTATTTATTGAATTAAAATCCACAACTAAGACTAAAATCATTATATACCTGATGGATACTGCCTTAAAGTCAGTTTCTGCTCAGTTACTGTTTTAATTCTTGTACACTGGATCCCAGTAAAGCATCTTGAAATGCTTGTTATTATTGCATGTTAATTTTAATAGTACTGGACAGATGACTTTTCCAGGTAGTAACACAAGCTATTGTACTGTCTTGACTCCTCTGTGAGCTGTATTCAGCTAATACATAAATTTTATAAACCAAATGCCAGTTTGTTAAATATAACTTGCTTTTTCATGTACTAGTAATATTTTTTTTTCCAAACCCTTTGTTGGATCTCTGACCCATCTCTCTTGAATTTTCACCTCAGGCTTGTGATACTCCGCTCCATCCATTGGGCAAGCTGGTAGAAACGCTAGTAGCTGTCTACAGAATGACCTATGTTGGAGTAGGAGCTAATCGACGATTACTGCAGGAGGCTGTAAGAGAGATAAAGTCCTACCTCAGACGCATCTTCCAACTGGTTAGGTAATGAGACTCTAATTTTCAAGTCAAACTACTGTTGAATTCATGTACTGAAACTGTCTAGTGTTTATGCAGTCCAAGTGTGCCAGTATCTTTGCTCTGTTTTGGGGGTTGCTTATAGATCCTTAACCTTTTTAAGGAGTCTTGAATATTCTGTCAAAATAGACAAATTAAGATCTTCACCACAGTGAATTACATCCTGCATTGTAATTTAAAGTATGACCGTAAGAAGCTCATCTTGAATGTGGATTTCCACTTTAGTGTCTCTGGATATCCATGCTGTGAAAAGACAGTGGTCAAAGGGTATAGAAGAACAGTGAGGATGGGAACTAGCAGTGTATACCATTGAAGTTGTTACCAAGGTGGACGAGCAATGTTCCTATGAAGTGTTTGCTTAGATTCTTGAGAGCAATTACAGCTTTAATTGGGTCCTGCCAATATGAAAGCAGAAATACTCCAAATTATTAACTATTAGAAGCCTTGACTGGAGGGAAGTGATTATGTCAAGGTAGGAAAGGTGTCTTTGGCATGAGGGGTTGGCCTTTGTAAGTTTTCTTCCAGGTAGCTGGTACTGTACGTGTGTTAGCTGTGCTGTCTTAGTCCACTGTGTATTTATTTCAGCTGACTTGTCTTTCCTCTCCAGTCTTGCCTTCTAATGCTGTGATTTGTAGAAACGTTATGAAATGAAATCATGCGATATTATGTGTATTGCTATTTAGGTTCTTGTTTCCTGATCTTCCAGAAGAGGGCAGCACAATTCCATTTTTGGCAACAGAGACAAAGGGACGACGATCATTTTGCAGTGGGAAATCTGAGTCCAGATCAGAATCTCCTGAGCCAGGGTACTTAAAGGAAAAAAAAACTGAACTAAGGAAGTCTTAATTTTGTTTCTGTTTGCAGTTATTTTCTTGGGTGGGGGAAGAAAGATAAGCACATGTTTAACTGATGGATATGAGCAGACTTTTTTCCCTTTGGTTCTGATGACAGTTTCTGATAAGCAAACTTCCACATGGTGGTTGCAATAAACATTTCATCCCTGTTCCACACAAGGATTCTTTAATTAAGCCCAAACTTGCTTTTGTCTGTTGTGGGTAAACAAGTTGAGGCTTGGGCCTGGGCTTCAGAAAAATGTTTGGGGTAATGCAGGTCCAGGGCACATATACTGCATCACAAATAGCCAGTCATATGGAGATCACCCTTGAGTCCATCGTTCTTGTCCACAGCAGCCTCAGGGGTGGTCAAAACAAGGAAGAGGGATCAGTAGGGAGACCCATCTGAGAAATGCTCCAGTGACCTGTGCAGGTGGCATTAGTAGGTACCTTGAGTTCAGCTTTCCCTGTTAGGGTTACAGCTTGATGCCAAGTAACTGCTGACTCTATGAAGCCTGGAGTGTGAGTGTGTGGAGCTAGGTCAGATGACTTAATGGGTTTTAGCCTTTTTTCTAGTGTGTGCTTTGAAGGTAAAGTTCAGCTGTCAGCACAGTGGCTCAGAATGGGGGCTAAATGGTTAGCATGAAGATTACAGGTACAACTTTGAATATAGTTCAGTATTCAACTTTGACATTATAGAAGGAAGAAAAGCAATGTGCTGTTTAAAACACATAAACCACAAAAAATCTGCACCACAACCACTGCCCCTGCCCCAAACCCACCTGTATGTGGACTGTAATGGAAAATTACTCCTAAGTATTTCTTAGCACAGGTACTATTTGATGGATTCATACTGATATTATTATTCTTATCCCTCACAGAATAGGCTCCTACTAAATGACAGATTGGTCAATTATTTCTTTTTCATTCAGTTTTTAAAATGTCTTCCTCTTCAAACCACCCCCTCTTTTTTTTTCTTCTTTTTTTTTGTAGCTATGTGGTAACCAGTTTTGGCTTGCTGCTGCCTGTATTACTGCCACGACTCTATCCTCCTCTATTTATGCTGTATGCCTTAGACAACGAGCGTGAGGAAGATATTTACTGGGAATGTGTTTTGCGTCTAAACAAACAAACTGATATGGCTCTTCTAAGTTTTCTTGGAGTGCAAGTGTGAGTATGCTTCAACAATAAGACAGAACTTAGAAAAAGATTATGGAATGTAAATAGATAAAGCCACTAAAAAAAACCCTATTATCTCAAGTGCTTTTTTTTTAAATTAAAATGCATCTAAATATATCTTCAAGCTAGTTAGTATGGTTGAGAGTGAATCAAAACTTCCCTCTTCCAAAAAGAGAGGGAGGGGAAGAAAAAAAGGAAGAAAAGATTGGCATCCCTACAAAACCAGAGCAAGGCATTTCAAATTAGGCTATTTTCCAGCTATTTGTGCTAGATATAGTTGATCTTGTAGAAAGAGCTGTTGTATCTCCTGGAACAACATGACGACTTCATTTTCATAAGGAGAAAAATGCCTTAAGACTGTGCTCTGTCAATACATTATGTTGGGTTTCTTGCAGGAAATTTTGGCCAGGAACTGTATCCATCCTTGGAGAGAGTAGAAAGGTATGTTTATTGGGTCTTGATTTACAGGTGTACTTTGCCCAGTCCTTCTTTCAAGAAGCTGAGATCATGAAGAAGCAGTCAAAGAATTTTTGTCCAAGCATTTTGATTGAGAGGTGCTATGCTATCTTGTTTTCTTAAAATTTGTCTGCTACTTAAAAGCTGCATTAGTGATTGCTTACAATAGCTGTCAGTCTGGGTTTGTCACTTGCAGTCTTACTCTGTAATGAATTCTAGTTGAGGAAGACATTTGCTTGGTCTCCAGTTATGAAAGTGTGAGAATAAGAGTCTGCCAAGGAAATTTTCAAGCTGCTTGATAAAGAGAGTTATACTATTGCATACTTTCTGATTAGGAGAAGTATTGTATAGTTTTTATTCTTAATCGTGTTGGTGAAAGTGGCTGAACACTGGTTTTAAATCATAATAGTGTAGTCCTGAATCTCTGTGCTCCAGTAAGAGCAGTTTAATAATCATAACTTTGAACAATATGACTATTCACAGTATGCTTTAAATCATATCTATTTATGAAACAGTATACGTCTATTTGAAATTTTCCATTTCTTATAGTCATTTAGATACTCTTGCCTTCACCTCTTTCCTGTTTGTAACTGTGGCTTGTGCACAGTCTGTAATAATTGAAAGCATGGCTTTCATCATAGTAGTTGCTGTGCAGGGACAAGCTGATACTCCTTGGTAGAGATTAAGTGTTACGAGTTTGTAATAGTAACCAAAGCTGCTGCTGAACTCCACCCCTGAGACTGTGGGTTTCCAGCAAGACAAATCTCCTTTTTCCCAAACCATGAAGTTGACGATTGATGTGATGCAAACCTCCACTCAGACTTTAAATGTTACAAAATCCAGCAATAACACGTTTCTTGAGTTACTTCACATCTGCTGTATTTTTAGGTACTGGGCAAAATTCTTACCAGCTGTTGAAGCCTTCACGCTTCTGACTTTTTTTGGTTATAGAGTAGAGCCCCTCCACTGTGAAGTACTATGCGGCTTGTGTCTTCTCTGAATTATGCAGTATATGATGTTCTCTGCAGCCATTTACCTTATTTGCTGGGTCATTCCTTCAATTAAACAGGATGACTTTAGCCAAGACATCATGTTTATCTGCTTCTCTCCTCTGTCCAGTTTCCTCATTTCTGTGAATTTCTCTAGGTCTTTTTGCATGCATCCATTCTCTGCCTGCTCCATTCAGAAAGACTTAGGCTCAGTTGCATGTTAAGAGCTAACATTTGTAGTTGTTCCTTTCTGTTTGCTCCAAACAGACTGCTATGACTTTTCTAGGTTTCAGCTGTTCCAGTCTTATGGTTCCCTCTTGATTGTTAACCATTAAGATTTAATGATTCTCAGTCTTGCTTCACCTGGAAGACAGCCAAAACTATCACTGATTCTTGTGACATACTAAGGAATCAGTACAGGCTTTTCTGAATTTTAAATGAAATTCATACAAATTATATGTAGGCAGATTTCCTGGATGACTTTAGCGTCCAGGCACATTCCCCTTTCTTTGCACTGGAAAACTGGAAAAAAAGTCTTTTATGCTAGTGTTGCCTGATATGCTGCTTCTCTTCCTCTACTGAAAGTGAGGCTGTTAAACCTGCATGATAAATCTTCTCATGATTACACAGGTATCATCAAATACAAAAGATGCCTGCTTTGCCTCTGCAGTTGAATGTTTACAGCAAATCAGGTAATTCTCTGAAACTTATCTTTTAGTGTTTTACTGTTCCTGCTATAGTAGTGTCTTGTTTACTTGATTGTGATCCTTCACCTGACACCTTTTCTTCACCTTCATAGGAGAGGTCACCAAGAAGTTTCAGAATTCCTACTAAAATTGTTAGCAAATTCTCATAATGGGGAATGAAATATAGCCTCATAAATGTCACTAAGAGATGTGTCCATAGGATGCCATTTAGAATCAAAGGCAGGAGGATGTCTAATCAAATATACATGTGAATTTCTAAGCAGCTGTGGCAAGATGGCTTCTGTGGGGGGAACTTTTCTGTGTCTGTTAGCTGATATAAGGAATTCTGCTGTGAAAATATAAGCAGAAATTTAAGGGATTTTAGAAAGGGATTTTTTCCCCCTTTACCACTATGTTAAAACTACTTAAAACTGTGAAGACAGTTTCACTTGCAGCGGTGTGCCTGGATCTGGTAATTGTAGCCTGGGGTACTACATAGCCTTGGCAGCTGTGGCTGTTGTGGTGTGAATGATCTGGCTCATCTTCTTGGGCATGGGGACGTGCCAGCCAGCAAATTGTATTCCTAATTTAGATGCAGATATGTAACTTCTTATTGTTATCTGTTTTGCTCTTGCTCTCCAAACAGTACCACATTTACCCCAGCTGACAAGCTGAAGGTGATTCAGCAGACTTTTGAAGAGATCTCACAGAATGTACTTGAAACTCTTCAGGAAGATTTTCTGTGGTCCATGGATGACTTGTTTCCTGTTTTTCTCTATGTGGTGCTACGAGCCAGGTAGGCCCTAAGAGTGGCATCAGTCACAAGCTCAACGTAGGTAGTATGAGTACTTTTACCTGTGTTAAGCAGACCTGCTTCTCGTTATAGGACTGCTTGCTAGCTTTTCGTAACTTCGTAAATTTTCCATTTTGGCTGTTCACTTTGGCCTGAAAAAATTTTGAACAGTTAACTGTGAAATGGCTGTGACCTCGGAATGAGGTTAGGGAAAAGCGTGGTTTTTGTGCAACACCATGTACAAAAAAGTAAAAACATTATAATGGTATCTTCCATTCACCTGTTCTCTTTCTCTCTCCCCCATGTGACAGGATAAGGAATTTGGGGTCTGAGGTGCACTTAATCGAAGACCTGATGGATCCTTATCTGCAGCATGGGGAGCAAGGCATCATGTTCACTACTTTGAAGGTATGAAAATTATTCGAACTTATTAAAAGATTTATTTGGCCATTAATCAGCTTTGACCAATGATGATCAGCATAGGACAATTGTATGAACATTAGGTTGTAACTTCTATGACATTTTTATTCAAGTTTTTAGCTAGGATGAGCAAGGAAACTTAACTTAGAGCTTAGGATAACCTAACAATTGCAAGCACTGCTAATAAAATGGTGCAATGTGCATATGTGATTTATTCAAATGTAACACTGGTTGCTGTTGACTGTTCTGAATGCTCACTTGTTGCTTGTCATTCCCCTGCAACATAATAAACCTTATTCCCTTTGTAAAAATTGGAATGAGGTGCTGCTTTGGAGATAAGCCATTCCAATAATGTTTAAGTCTAACACTACATCAAGATGTTTCAGGAATTTAATTGGGGGAAGATCTCTTTACTGTGTCACTCTCCACATTCTATTTAGTATTATTCTCTTCTCTTTTTAAGTATGGAAAAAGGGAGATAATCTGTTTTGATTGGTATCCTGTTGTACACTAGGACCTCCATAATGGAAATAGGTTGTTTTGGTACCTCAAAACTGTTCAAACAAATGGGTCGTGAGACAGTTCATCTATGTGGAGCTTTTTTGTGTGGTTGTTTTGGAGGGAGGTTGTTAACCTGAAACTTAAGTAAAAACCTTAAGCTGAGCTGCTAGGTGAACATGATTGTATTTTGTGTCTGTGCAAATTGGAAATAGTTGGGTGCAGAGGCTTTTTCATACCTGTTATTTCTATAGAGCTGCAAAAAGGGAAGATTTGAGTTCGTTAAAATTTATCAAAGAATCCATGCAGTACAAGCAGAATCTTACTTTCCATGAGTGCAAGTGTTATCTGAGACATTAAGTTTCTGGTCGTAGCTGACCAATGCATATCTGAAACAGCATTAAGGAGTGAATAGCTATCAAGCAGCAGGTCAGGGTATTTATCCAGATGATAAACCTTTGCTTTTCAGACTGAGTGCTTTTGAAATGCTTAATCCCTGCATCCTTGTCCTGTAAGAAAATATTTTGTTTTTTGGGTCGTTCTGTCAAAGGGCAAAGAAAGACTTGTGAGCAAAAAAAAAAAAAAGTACTTCATCTTGGCAAAGCTGGGAGCTGAGGAAGTATTCAGAGTCCCAAATCATGCTGTCTTGTTTCATTGAGTTGGACATAATTTGTAACTTAAAATCTCCTGTTGTTCATTTTGCTAGTTTACATATCAAGATTCTCATGTATTGAGTGTTGCTATCATCACTGCTTGTAGAAAGCCTAGTCCTGTGTTTTCTAGGATAGAAGAAAAAAAAAAATCATCCTTTGTGTGTATGATGCTTTATCAGCTCACTGAGAACTGGTATGTATGCTAAACTGAACTTTGTTTTAATTCAGGCATGTTACTACCAGATTCAACATGAAAAGCTTACCTAGACCATCATTTACAACCTGGCTCTGTGGGATAATCTGCTCAGTGGAACTTCACTAATACCCACTTTCTTCCCTGAAATGGCACTTAGAAAATGCATCTCGTTACAGATGAAAATATTCCGTTGTTTCTTCTGAACTTTCAGTTTTAAGATTGAATAACTGCAGACAGAGGCTGCTGTCTGTGAAGTGGTGATGAAGCTAGAGACTTGGTTTGTCAAGTACTTGCCAAGAAGAAGTAATTTCCTGTTCTAACAGAAAGACTATTTATTCCTTTTCAATTAACAATGCTGCAAAAAGGCATGGCATATACATAAAGTATGTGTGAAAGTCTGGACTGCATGGCTTCTAAAGCAGTGGGTTTGGTTTTATTATTCCTGGTTTGTCAACAAAAACATTTAAAGAGAATGAATTCCACCACAGAACCATTCGGTCTTCCTGAATTAAGCTATTATGATTGTTTATTTAAAAAATAGAAATATGTTAGTATTTATAATGGGTAACCTATAGTGTATTTGGCTGTAAAGGTTTTGAGGCATCTGTGTTAAACAGAATTGCTGAATGCAGTATTAATGTGCTGTTGTGGAAATAATCGATACTATTATGGACTTCCCTTTTTACTAGAATTATAAATATAAAAGCATTCACTAGTCTTTCTGTTTATGAAATAAATAAAAGGCACTGACCACTTCAAATTTTGGCACTGAATTAAATACCCAGAATCTGTGGAGTTCAGTTTCATTACCCTGTAGTCTGAGGACACACATTTTCTCTGGAAGCCTATGTGATGGGAGAATGGGAATGTGCTCTTGAACAAGCTGACAATGGATTAGATTGGAGACTTTTGCTTATTAATTTATGTGTCAGAGTGAAAAAAGCTAACCTTGTTTCATTTTGAACTTGTAGAGAACAAGTAATTTCCCTGAGGGATTTTTGTGTGTGTGTTCTTCTGTGGTTTATGGTTAACTTTATTTATACCAATAACACCGGTGGATGCTTTGGGTATTGTAGGTGCTGTTCTTTACCATTCAAAAAAGGGGGAGGGAGGAATAGATTATAGAATGATCTAATGGCTTAAGTTATGTCAAACTACCATAGATAATACTAATCATATTTTTGAAATAGTAATTGTGGCTTGTGTACTGGCACCTAAACGGAAAGAAACCGTATGTCAAAATACTGTTTTGAACAGTGATGGTAATGTAGCAATTTTCATAATAAAGTAAAAAAGATTGGTCTTCCTGAAATTATTTTTAGTTTTATCAGAGAAGGAGAAAGAGTAATTCAAAGATGATGTTTAAAACTATTGTTAGACTTGTTACACTCGCAACAGACTATAGAGATAATAGAAAATAAGACTTCTTCATGTTTGCAAACAATTTTTGTTAGCTTAATCTTATTTTTAAATTATACTGACTAATTTTTTGAGAGATAAGCAATAATATGAATAAAAGGGAAGCTATAAAAAGAAGTTAATTTGAGAAGGGGAGGGGGGAAGATACACAAGGGTGGACAGTATAATGAAATACAAGCCAGGAATTTGAACACTTACTCTTTTGTGCTAGATGCAGTCTTTCCATGCTATCATCTGTTGGAACCCAGTGTACAAAAAGTATTTAACTGAAACCTGTAGGAGCAGAACTGCTCTTTGAAAAGGAGCTATGCTGAACAGCTGAGTAAATCAATGGCAATAGTTTCCATCTGCAAAGATCTGAATTCGGGATTTATTTCACCTTTTCTAGAAGTGTACTCCTTAAAACCAAGTTTGGACACCCCCACCACCCACCCCACCCCCCTTTTTTTGTGTTTTTTGTCTTCAGATATTTTGGAAGAAAGGAACTATTTTAATCTTCAGCTCATATGACCTTGCTCCCACACTGTTTCTGTGCCTTAAATTGAGAATGTAACTAGAGCTGGTAAGTTTTTCCATAATCTTTCTGCCTTTCAAGGAGGAGGTGTATCTACCAAATATGTAGCAACTTTGAATGTTTAACTTGATTTGTTGTGAATAATGCAAAGTGGAGAACTAAAAAACAAAGAACACATAACACATCTGCCTTTACATACATATGTACACACACATACCACCCCTCTCATAAAAAGTAGTGATATCACATATGAATGTAGCTTGCTGATTAATGGAAGCAGACAGCCTGGGCTGTCTTTTGGTCTTTCTGATATATAGCTCAGTTATTAGCTGAAGAGACTCCTAGGATTAAATGTGCTTCTGACACAGATTCCACTTTACAGCCTACATGGGCTGTGATGCATTAGGAAATCAGTACAGACCAGCTTTGATTTGTGCATTTCTGAAGCTAACAAAGAAATGACTTCACCTGCAGGACTTCTCTGTCTGTATTGCTTCATGGTAAATACTTTTTTCTCATCATCTTTGCCTCTTTTTTTTCCTGAAATTGAAAGCTGGGTATTTCTTGTGCTGCTGCAGAAATACTGTAACCAGCAACAGATCAATATTACAGTGTTGTAGGTTCTCGTTGTGATTGCAGGCATGGTAGCTGGAGTCAGACCCTAAGAGACCAGTGCTCTATTGACTGGGAAAGCTGCTGAGAATAAGAAACTACTTAAGTGAGAAACAACTTAAAGTAGGCTTTTTATGCAAGAAAAGGGTTAAGGGGATTTGTTCTCCCTGGTAATGAGTGGTTCTAAGGTTAGGTTTCTGCGGATTAGAAAGGAGAGGATGTCCGTAGATTAGCTAGGGCACTGAGGTTACTTGCTCTACTAACATTCAGCAAATACTCTTTCCTTCTGGAAATTCTGCATGAGCTGAACATGATGTATTCTGTGGTGTTTGCAGGTAAGAAAATATGCACTGTACTGAAACCATTGTACTGCATAGATGCATTTCCCCCATGCAACTGTGAAATTTAGTTTCTTCTCATGGCTACAGCAAAGCTAATTAAACTTGTCACCTGTTTAATTCCCATTAGCTAAATATTAGAGATATGCATGAATCGGGAGTTGGAGTTCAAAAGAGAATTTTTCCTTGCTCCTAATCTTCATAAAGTATTCTGTCTTGAATGCCAGCTGCTATACATTACTGACTTATTTCGCTGAGAGTAGGTTCACTTCCTAACTGTGCTTGTTGTTAGGAGCAGTTTAGGGAACGACCTGTCCTGGTATGGTGAGAGATAATGTAGAGGAAAGATACGGGACTGTGAAACAAAACGTTTCTTTGAACTACCTAGCCATGTACTTGTAGGCTGATTTAGTATCAATGCAGTGATGTTGTCAGGTGGCTGTTTGGATTGGCTTTTTTTTCCAGTAAGACAAATAGGGTCAAGGAATTTCATGTTCTACTACTTAAGGAGGTAAGCCCTGTAGCACAAATTTGGAATAACTGATATTTGTAGACATGAGGTGATGGACTCCTTTTGACTCTTTTTCAGCCTGAAGAAGAGAAGGCTGCGAGGGGACCTTATAAATGCCTACAAATATCTGAAGGGTGGGTGTCAGGAGGATGGGGCCAAGCTCTTTTCAGTGGTGCCCAGTGACAGGACAAGGGGCAATGGGCACAAACTGAGGCACAGGAAGTTCCGTCTGAACATGAGGAAGAACTTCTTCCCTCTGAGGGTGACGGAGCACTGGAACAGGCTGCCCAGGGAGGTTGTGGAGTCTCCTTCTCTGGAGACGTCGGCGGGGGGGTTGGACTAGATGACCCACAGAGGTCCCTTCCAACCCCTACTATTCTGTGATTCTGTGATTCTGTGACTCTAAATTCTGGCGCACACAGCGTGGATGTCCAGTTCTGTCCCTAGTAATAGTCAGAGAAATGTCTTCTATTAATGAGCATTTGTATCTGCATGCAATACATGTGAATGGAAAGGACCATGCACTGGCTAGGAGATGTCATGTAAGCCTTTTAGTAAGAACTTCCATCTGATTTATTTAGATCCCTGGGATGAGGAGACCCTGAGCTCTAATAGTCTGCATAGATAAAAGTTTCAGGAAATGAATGCACAGTAGTCGTTACAAGTTTGTTTGAACTCTGACCTTTTCCTTTAAGCAAGCAATTTAGTAGGTCTTTTTCTAAAGAACTACACAGAAGGAAGATATTATTCTTCCTCTGCCCTGGTGATGACTTATTCATCATCTGTTGCTACTGACAGCTGCTGAAACCAGGCTTCACAGTTGGAAGCTGCTTTCCTTTTGTTGTGTGAAAATGAAACAGCTACTACTTCATGAATGAGGTGAGCTGTGGTGTTGAGAATTTGACAGATTTTGATGTTTAAATGCTGTTTCTGTCAGTGTGAGCATAAGCTCTGTAGTTTAAGAAGGCAACAATGGATGGAAGGATTACTAACTCTGGTTGTTATTAACCCTAGCAGCTCCCTGATTGCTTGCCTTTTTGGGTGAAATCCTTGGGTATAGCTATCAGCATTCAGCAGCTTTCCCAGTTTTTCGTGTAAATCTAAGGTAAACCTTCAAGACAAATAGCGTATCTAAAACTTCTAAACACACCCTAGGTAATCCCACATCTGCTCTCTATGGAAGCAGTAGTGATGCCAGAAGCTGCAAGGCTCCATGGGGAAAAAAAAATAAAATAATCTTGCAAGTATTTTAGAGGGGTAATAATATTGGTTAGTATTTTAGCAGAATCTGAATTATTTTAGCATCTCCAGAAATGTTCTTCTTTGTCTATTTGCAGGAGGATTTTCAGTGGTGTGTTTAAAAATGAAATAACTGTTCTATAGAAGATTTTAGAATATTCTTTCTTTGACAGCAGCAGGGTGAATTGCTTGCTTTGGTTTACTGCTTTCCCATTCTGAGTCACTGTGCTGTGTAAGATCTATCCCAGCTAAGAGCAAATAAATATGATCCAGCTCCCAAAGGCTACAAGGCACCTGGATTAAGGTATTCCCAAGACTGTACTGGAGAGGGTTGTGTGTTTTGGTTTGCCTTTTTTTTTTTTTTTTTTTTCTTTTTCCTCTTTAAACTTCTCTGTTTTGTAACAGAATATAAGCAATGCTAACTGACAACATGGTAACGTGCTGGTTTGGTAGACAGCACTATTTGAACAAAGCAGGTCTTAAGATCATGGTAATTTCACTACAGTTATCACGAGAAGAGAT